CCTAAATCTACAAAAAAAATTAAATGAGGTAGATTGTCTTTATTGTGATGAGTTGACCACAGAATCAGAATCTAAAGAGGATTTTTCAAAAATACGTTGCGATGAGGAATTGATGTGCAAGTTGTACCATATTTACATTAAAAAAGGGTCATTGATGAGGAAATTTATTTGTTTTTAAATTAATCAAGGTTTAATATGATTATTAAATATAAAAAAATTAATATCAAAATAAAAAAAAAACATTTGCTTCGATATAAAAAAGTATTTTTAAAAAGAGAAAATTGTAATGCAATTCACCTTATATAACTCATTATTTTTAATTATTGATGAAAAAATGAAACTCAAAAAATATACTTCTTCATCAATAATTATAAAAAATGCAACCCATGTAAAACGATCAACACTTTACGTTTTTAATAAGTTCATTATTTTTAATCCTTTGAAAAACGCAAATCCGAAAAATCATTTTAAAAAATGCAAAGGAAATAACTATATTGCACCATTTTGCGAAGTTTTGAATTTCCACTTTCATGTAACAAAAATGCAACTCATTACAGAGCAGCAAAAGGCAAAGCAGCGATCCTTGAATTCTGAATAGAACCTAACCCTGATGAATATGGGGTTGTTGTGGCAGAATTTACATTTCTATTTTAAGCTACAGACGACCAAATCCTGAGAAGGGATTATTTGCACTAGACCTTGAGACAAGCAATTCTCCCTCGACCCCGACCCCGCCTACTGCTGATGCATGCTTGCAATCTTCTGAAGATGACGATAACAGATTAACAGTGTACACTAGTAATACAGATAATATGCTGAGAATAAGGATGACATGACCAATATCAGTTGATTTGAGAAAGGGGCGACCGTGGTATCAGCGACGGTTTCAATTCTTTGGACTCAAATGATTCAAATGAATTATTTTCTCGGAATTCTTCAACCAAAGCTTCCATAGGCATGGCTCGTAATGATTCAATACTACCCTTGCTGGGAACATCCTGTTCACTTCTAATTGGAGTAGTCCCACTTGGCTCGTAATCCTGTTTGCCATTTTAGTTCAATGCAACAATTTATTTTTCATTGCTCAATTACAAATTGAGTTGAATAATTCCTCGGTGAAAAGAATACTGGAAAGGTGAAAGCAATCATATGAAGCAAAGACAGTAAGTTGAATGCTAGATAACCTACCATATATCTCTGCTGGAATGTTTCTTCTGCCTTCTCCCGTACGGATGAAGCTTGACAAGAATGATCGCTTTTGAAAGTCTCGAGAGTTTTAGTATGTGCTTGGACTCTATCCAAGATTCCAGATATAGATTCTTGCTTTAATTCTGACACACCTGTAAAAAGTTCCACCAAGAAGTCTTGTTTTAAAAAGTTATTCATGAATGATGATGTCAAAGAACATCAAAGAAACCACCTTACAGAATTTATGGGTGTCCCATTTTGAGAGCTAAGTAACTTGAATTATGAAGTAAATTAAATTTCTAAATTGACTAAAATTCAATATCAACCAAAAGCTTTTAACTCTGACAACAGTAGAGAAAGCTTACTATCGATGTACCGAATTGCATCCTCACTATTCTTTGCCACATCTTCCTCAGCTGTAACCCTGGCAATATCAATCTCTGCATCATGCTGCTCGTTTGTATCAGAAGCTTTCCTGCAGGAAATACTCAAAATTAATTTTATATAAAATGAGATTAGGCAAGATATGCCAAAAATTCAAGGGATCACAGGATGTGACCATTAAGTGTTAACAATTTTTTTTTTTTTTTTGGTTGTTGATCAGCACTGTTAACTGTTAACTAACAGCCTCAGTAGCTAGAAGCAACACCATTCACAAATAATTTACTGATATACAAAGAAAAACTTAGGCTTTTGGATCAGAATTAGTTTCAAAATTTACAAGTGGGCATTAATATCTAAAGATTTATTTAAGAAAAGCAGAGAAAGAAAAGAACATTTTCCTTGGACATCTATTTACCAAGGGAAAATCTGGAAAATGCAAAATCTATATCCCACCAAGTCACTGACCTTGTAAGTGATACTATTTCCGAAGCATGTTTACCACCCATCTCAGTCACCAATTCCTGAGTATGTTTGCATTGCTTGAAAGCTGATTCAGCAGTGCTCACACTAAAGGACAGGATGAAGAAACAAGGAAAGGTAAAAACATGACTGGAGGCATGATCTACACTCCACAAAGAAAACATAATATCAAATTTACCATTGCTGTAGGAGTTCCTCCATACGACAATGTTTAGCAGCAGAATAGTCAGCGCTGTCTTTAGCATCATTCTCTGCTTGTGTGGCAAATGCTTGCCACTTCCGTTTTGCGTCTGTTGTTATACCCTCCACCGAGGAAACATGGGTATTCAAAAACTTTTTGTTTGCCATAGCACTCTCCTTCATATCAACAAGCCTTGCATCCACCTTTTCAAATCAACCATGAATTAGTCTTAACGTTCACAATAGAGTTGTATTAAGAATTAAGGATAAAGGTGCAAAATTAAGGCATAGACAAACCAGGTCTTGTTGCCGACGAATGTGGTTATAGACAAGATTTGTCATATCAGCTATAAGCTTTTCTGCATCAGATTTTGATTGGTCCTGCATAGGAGATCATTGATATGTCAGAAATGTCAACAATTTATCTCAGTATGGGAATATGTATACCATACCTCATAAGCCTTCTGGAAGCTAGCAATGCTCTTCATTTGAACTTCCTCAGTTTGGGTTGCATGATTCTGAAGCCTTGTTGACTCTTCTGAAATCTTATGAAGAACCCCACTAGTATACTCAGAAATGTCCTTTGTTTGCTCAATACTAACATTAAACCTCTGTGAAATCAAGAAAGGCATAAAAGAAAACTTGAAATCAGGAGCAAAATATATGTGCTTAAATGAAAAGATAAGTATTTTCTTAGGTTGGAAGCTATGAAATTAATTATGCAACTCTAGTAAAGGTTAAAAACAAACCTGACGTAGTTCCCTTGCAAAAAGGGCCATTTCTTCCTGGTGAGATTCAATAGTTCTTTGAAGATCGTTGAATATTGAAGCTGCTTCAGCACCCTCTGATTGCAGAAACTGATTCATAGATAAACAAGTTAAAACAAGGAAAATGAAAAAACTAAATAGCAGAAGAAAATGTGAGTCAACTTAGTTTCTACCTCTTCCATAGACTGCATATTTGAAGAACCTAGAGTTGAAATTTCCTCTAAGGCAGCATTGGAGCTTGCCTTGTGCAGACGAACAATATTTTGGACTGCCTCCAAGTGGGAAAAGTATAAAGCCTTCCCAGCTTTCACTTTCTTCTTCATATCCAAGACCGCCTAAAGGCAAAATCAATGAGCTAAGGTCAGGAAATGCCGAAGAAAGCACCTTGTTGCACACAATGAAGAAAGAAACTTCCATATACAGTTCAAGGAGTTAAAGTAATGAACCCAAACTCAGCAATACCTTATTATGTGTATCTGAAAAAGAATGACAGAGGTTCTCCACAAAGTGAAGGTGTTCATTTTGCTGAGACATAGATGAGGCCACTATGTTGCAAAGAGAACCAAGTTGTTCAGCTAGTTCAATCTGGTAATTGTTAACCACCACTCTGTTATCGGTATTTAGCTTGTCTTCTCTTCCTATATAATACCAGTTACTAAATCAGGAACAAGTTTCCATTTACGGATGAACAAAATTTGTATTTTAATGGACAGCAAATAAGTCTTTAACCCCAGAAAAAAAAAAATAGCATACCAATTTTTAGAAATAATGAAGCATTATCCTTGAGAGCTTTCTCCAGATCAGACTGTAGGACACACGCTTGATGGGCTAGAGCATTTTCTATTCCAGAACAGCCAAAAAAAATTAGCAACACAAACACACAAACACCCAAAACCAAAAACCCAAGCAATATACATATTTACCAGCTTTTTTCTGCTCAGATATGATGTAATCCTTCTCTTTCAAATCATAGCGGCACTTCTTCAACTCCTCTTCAGTTTTGGCAAGCAGTTTTTTCGTATTATCCAAGTTTTTCTGCATTTTCCCACTATTCAATGTGAAATTATCCATTACAAAATAGAATTAAACAGAAATTCATGAACATAACTGACCTCAGTCACTTCAAGTTTGCAGTTCAAATTAGAGCATTCACGAACTTCGGCTACATATTTATCCTGCAACTCTTCAACTTGCTGTTTCACAACATAACAAGAGTGTAACACAATATATGTCAGATAAACATACTAAGATGCAAAATATTCAAGAACTGCCGATAAGAAGTGATGCAATAACAGACCTTCTGATTGGTTTCCAGAACAACCCCCATTTGTTCAATCTGCTCAGCCATGGCCTGAACAAAGAACAGTTATTTTCCAGAGACAACTAGCAATATCAACTGAAAAATAAGAGGATGCATAAATATAAACTGAGGAAAGGTAATTACACCTATTGATCACTTAAAAAGCTTTGAAAAACAGACTCAAGCCATTCCAATGAAAAACAAAGAAGAGCAGCTGAACCTTTTAATGAGCTACGAAAGAGTGTCAATAAAAAAAAAAATGGTAGAAACATGCAACAGTGAAATAATTTGTTGGGTAAATATGTGCAAAAGCATGCAGCTGCAGGAAGGGTAAAATAAGGGGATAATTGCGCACCTTCCTTTCGCTCTCCTCCTGGTAGTATCGCTCCTTTGGAATATAGACACCATTCTTCTCACGAGCAGCATACACCTCTAAAGAAAACAGTTACATTAGACAAGGATAAGTTTAAGTAAACTAGAACACTCAGGGAATAGGCTGAATATTCCATAACTTTGTCTAATCATTGCAATACTAAAGCATCTCACCTGCCTTAAGTCGTTCAATTTCACCATAGAGATCCTTTATAAGAGTTGATTTCATCATTTTTTGGTTAACCTTCAAAAATCGTAGCACCAGGGCACTTCAGAATTTAGCATGTATTTGACAATTGTTTGGGAAAGCAAGCAAAGGAGATAGAACAAAAATAAAAATAAAAACTAATTTCTTCATTTAACCAGCAACTGCGGATCTAGCAGCGCATGATAAACATCTTACCTCAGGCTTATTTTTGATATGTTTGGCCCTGTGAGCATAATCCAGTGTACTTAAGGTTTCCTCCAGACAATGAACAGCTGGTGAAACTGTGGCTATAATGCACGTTTTGGTTCTTCCTCCGAGCGAATCACGAAGTAACCGAGTAAGCTTACTATCCCTAAAATTCAATTGAACATAATTAGAAGCAACAAGAAAAGAAAGGTATAGAGACATCAAGAAAGCGACTAAGAAGAAATTCAAACCTGTAAGGTACATGGGCAAGATGTTCCACAAGAGCATTAATAACTCTCCCTAAAGTAAGTAAACTCTTATTAATTTCTCCAGCTTCTCTTGCACGACCCTAATGTACACCGAAAGATGACATTAATCAGTTTCAGCAAAAATATAGATTTTTTTACTAGATGGACTGTAAGTACTTACATCCCTAGCCCCAGAACGAGAAATATTTTCAGAGCCTGCTAAATCAACCAAATTCAGTTTCCCACATTTGATCAGTTCTTCACCTTCCGGTGTTGCTTCCTTGATGTGAATTGTAATAGTAAATAGAGAATGGGAACGACTGAAATGAAAGAAAAGTACATGATAAATGAAGGTAACCTGCCTTAATTTTTAACAGGAAATAGAAAAAGAAACATTACCTTGACTGCTTATTTAACAAAGTTTCTGCAGTGCGACGCTTAGCAGAACCTCTTTCAAGCAAAGTAAATATCTCACTAGCACTTGTCACGATTTCTTCCTCTAGGCCTCTCACAAGAACTCCACCTTTACCATCTTCCATAAGAGGCAACTGCTTCTTTTGCTTGTCCTCCAAAGCAACTTTCGAAATTTCCTCTGGGGCAAGCAAATCTGTAATCTCTTCATTGTACAACTCCAAGAAAGTAACTTTCACACTGTACTCTGCATTCTGGCTCTCCAGTGTATCAAAAATTTGCTTAACAGCTCTAGGTATGACTCCTGCCCCTGGAGGCAATTCTCCATTAAGTCCAGTCTGTCCCATTATTTGCATACCATGTCATTAGCAAATAATCAATCGTTTAAGCAACTAATTAAAGCAGCCACATAATTAACCTACGTCCTACCATACCTTTGACCTTTTGCATTCCCCTTCCATTGTGTATGTCTTTCCCGTACCCGTCTGACCATATGCAAAAATGGTGCAGTTAAACCCCTCTAAAACCTCATTCACAATCGGAACCACTGCTTGTTCATAGAGATCCTTTTGCTGCGCTGATGGCCCAAAAACCTGCACACCCCCATATATAAAATCTCAAAATTCACAACCATACAGTGCACAAAACTAGAACTAGCTCCCAGATAAACCAATAGATACCATGACCCCAAAATACCGAAAACAATAAACCTTCAGGCTTCCCCAGCCCACATGAATTTCACCAATTAGCAAGTACCTTTATTAAGCTACTTTAATTGACAAACACACCCAAACATGACTTATAATCATCTCTAAAAAAGTTAACCCTTGAAAGAAATACCTTGTCAAAAGTGAAAACCCTATCGAAATGCTTTCCGGCGATGTTCTGCGAAACGGAGACTTCTCTCTGATACTCATTGCAAGTCACCACCTGCGGCGCATTGTTCTTCAACTCCTCCTCACTAAAAGGCCTACAAATTTCAAAACAACCCCCCACCCCAACAAAAATAGCACAAAATTAACCGAAACAACCGATCCCGAAGCTTAATCAAAAAAAAAAAAAAAATGCCGGCAAAGAGGGTGAAGCAGTACCTGCAACGGAGGAGCACTTGGACGTTAACGCCCTTCTCTTTCTCGTGGCGGCCGGACATTTTAAATCGGCGAGGAGACGGAGCCGGAGACAGAGAATCGAAGGTACCTATTGTTTCCAGCTCTTGATGATTCTTCTCCCCTTCTCTCTGTTACTGTTAGATCTGCGCTGCCTCTCTGCGTTTCTGGCTCCCTCTCTCAAATCTGGAAGTGAAAGGGAGAGAGCGGGATACGTAGAAGATTTGAAATTTTTCAGGGGGCCGCTCGCTTGGGTATATATATCAACGGATATGTTTCAGCCACGTGGATCCGACGGTGTAGATAATGTGTTGAATTTGAAATCTTGCATCCGTTCGTTTTGCTTTGACTTGATTACCCCTATGTTTTTGTTGTTAATCCCAAATTAACCCTGATTAATTTGAAAACTAACATGAGTTCGCTAATTCGCTTAGGTCCGGATATGGATGGTTTGTTTGTATAAATAAGCACAAAATACAGTTGAGTGGGCTTATAAATTATGAAAATTTGTTATACAATTTAAATTACATAACAACAATAACTAATAGATGATGATGAAACTCTTAATATTTAGGTCTCTTTCTCCTTTAATTATTTATGTTTTGTAGTTTAAACGGTAAAATAAGAGATTATAAATTATCCAAAGAAGTGTTTTGTGATTCAACCTACAAAACACCAAACACTTAAATTATGGATTTGTCTAATTTGTGCGATAAGGACATAGATTAAGAATGTAATAAATATATTTTTTATAATTAATTTATATAAAAAAATTATAAAAGTTGATATATATTTTAACACCATTGACATTTGAATAATTTTAATTAGTTAATTAATTAAATCGAAATCAATATTTACACACTCAATAAAAATTAGTTACAAAAGAGTGCATTTATTACACATTTGTTCTATGTCTTAAGGACACATGATACAAAAGCCATTAAATTATTTATCTTGAATTGATGATAAACTTGAAATAAATGTTTTGCAATTTAAATTACAAAAGACTACCTATAAGATTAAAAACAAGTCCCCTTATAATAAGGGAAGCACTTCCATTCTAATGGCTAGTGTTTTATAATAATGCAATTTAGATTGCAAAACACTATACACTTAGATTAATTTATTCATGAATTGATGTACTTGAGAGAGATGTTATTGTTATTTGGAAGACCGACACATGAATTAGAGGTGTGTTGGATATAGGACACACCAAAGTGTTAAGGGCCAAGTAAATTAAAAAAAAAAAATTATAAATGGTTACTTATGATTTTTAAAAACTTTTAATTTAACTAGTAATAAATATCAATTATTTTATTATCAATTAACTAATAATTATAATTATTAATTATTTACAACAATTAAATTAAACATATAAGTATTTTAATATATAATATTTAAAATTTGGTTAAATGCTAAATTTGGTCCCTCAACTTTAGTGAGTTGCACATTTTTATCCCTCAACAATTTTTTGCACTTTTTTGATCCCTCAACTATATGAAATGCACTCCGTTAGTCTTTCTGTTAGTTTGGACCGTTAACCTTGCTTAGGTGGCATTTTTTATATTTTTTTTGATGATGTGGAGAGCAAAACTTAAAAAGGTGATGATTTGTATAAAACTTTTGCCATGTCACATGTTACCTGGCTGAAAACGCACCAAATCCATTCAAATGAGTCCTACATCATCACTAAAAATTGCTTCTTTCCCGTCTGTTATTGTTTATATTTTTTTCATAAACGGTGTTCTTTCCATTTTTCATTTTCAAGATTGAAGTTCGACAGAACAGAACCCGTTCCATTTTCAAGATTGAAGTTTGACAGAACAGAACCCAACAAATACGTTCCACCCAGCTCGATTCACTGAGCTCAATTGCTCAAAAATCCCTGCAATTTGAATAATATCTTGGCAAACAATCATATAACCAAAAAAAAAAAACAAATTGCCCAAAAATCCCTCACAACAACCTGCAATTCGGATAATCT